GCAGCAGCAGCAGCAGCCAAGCACTCGAACGCTCCTCCGCTGCTCCGCTGCTGAAACGCCGCCCAAAAATTCCAGAATCCACACCGTACTTTTCTCGGGTCTCGGACAGGGCGGAGAGCCTGGACAGCGCTTCTCGGGCAGCTCCATCCTCGAGCCTAGCAAACACCATCCACCTCGTCATTCAAGCACCGGCACTTGTCCCTCCACAGCTGCAGACGCTGACTCGTCTGCTCTCAAGCTGTTGTCATCATGGGTCGCAAGGCCGAGGTGCAGAGGATGATGCTCGAGAAGCTCATGGGTCCCGAGGGTAAGTCGTCTCTTTGCATCGCTCGCGGGCGCCTGCTGCAGATTTGCTAACGCTCTGATGTGCTCCCACGACAACCGCAGCGATGGGAACACCGACGGCCAACTTGCACTTTACCGATCCCAAGGTTTGCCGCAACTTCCTCTGCGGCACCTGTCCACACGACCTCTTTGCCAACACAGTACGTTGCAAGCCAAGCCTCGCGCCTTGATCCATCATTCCACGCTCGACTGACCTTTGATTTGCGATGCTTCGATGACCTCGACAGAAAGTGGACCTTGGCGCGTGTCCGAAGGCGCATACGCCCAAGTACAAGGACGAATACCGCAAGGCGTTGGCTGCGGGACAGCGCTTCCCCGAATTCGAGCGCGAGCACGAGCACAACATCATGGCGTTCATCAACGACATTGACCGCAAGATCAACACGAACAAGCGGCGGCTGGAGCAGACGCCCGAGGAGCTCGCGCGGTTCGCCAACATGAACCGCGAGATCGCCGAGATCGAGACGGCGCTGGCGGCGGTGATGGCCGAGGTGGAGGCGCTGGGAGAGCAGGGCCAGATCGAGGAGTCGCTCGCCGAGCTTGCCAAGGCGGATGCGCTCAAGGAGGAGAAGGCGCAGAAGGAGGAGGAGCTGCACAAGGCGCAGGAGAACTCGGGTGCCAGTGGACACCAGAAGCTGCGTGTCTGCGACGTCTGCGGTGCCTACCTCAGTATCTTGGACTCGGACCGCCGATTGGCCGACCACTTTGGTGGCAAGATGCACCTGGGCTACCTGCGCCTCAGGGAGATGATCAGCGAGTTTGACGAGAGGAGACGCCACCCGAATCCACCGCCCATGGGTATGCCTGCGGCACCACCAGCCACGTCATCGTCGAACGGACACGCGACATTACCCCGCCCATCCTTGTCGGCAGCAGCAGGGTCTTCGGCACATCGCAATGGCGCGAGTGCAAGCGACCGCGAACGCGAGCGCGACTTTGAGCGCGAGCGCGAACGGCGCGACCGAGAACGCAAAGAGAGCCGCGAGCAGCGCACGGGGAGCCAAGCCGACGACGCGGCGAAGCGAGGCGGCGAAGAAGGCGAGCTGGGCGAGGAGGAGGGAGAGATGGTCGAGGATGGCCCCTCAAGAGCGCAGCCCAAGGACGAAGATCGCAAGCGCAGTCGTTCGCCCTCGCAAAGGTAGTGCCGCGCCGTTGCTGCTTGCGGCTCATACTTGTACTTTTATGCTCTCACATTCTCGCACTCGCACAACCCAGGTGAACGCTGATCGGCAGGCGAGACAGGCGAGATAGACTGTGCGGATGAGAAACGACATGGCAGGCTCGACTGTCGAGACACAGGCGAGCAAGAGCGAGCTGATGGACTTCCGCGTCCCGAAAAGGCGCCCGACTCCACTTGGGAGGCTGCTCCAAATTTCGAGAAGGTTGGGAGGGCCGAGTTTGGAGCCTGCCAACCTCGCTCGTTGACCACCATCTACCGCCGTCGTCGTCGGGGTGATCTGGCACAGCCTGCAAGCAGAATGTCGTACTTTTTGCCGCATCTGCCCACGGGGTGGCATGTGGACCAGGCAATTCTGTCCGAAGAAGACCGTGTGGTCATCATCCGCTTCGGGCACGACACAGATCCGGTCTGCATGGAGATGGACGAGACGCTGTACAAGATCTCGACGGCGGTGCAAAAGTTTGCGGTGATCTATCTGGTGGATACGACGCAGGTGCCCGACTTTAACAAGATGTACGAGCTCTACGACGCATGCTCCGTCATGTTCTTCTATCGCAACAAGCACATCATGATCGATCTCGGCACGGGTAACAACAACAAGATGTAAGTCACAACCTCCCCCCTTCCACCCACCACCCCTCTATATCGCGATAGAGAACTTACTCTGGTCTCGCCTTGGGCATGGCAGTAACTGGGCGATCACGGAGCGACAGGAGCTAATCGATATCGTCGAGGTGGTGTATCGAGGCGCCAGCAAGGGCCGAGGTCTGGTCATCAGTCCCAAAGGTAGGTTCGAACCACATCATACGCATGAAAGGAAATGCAACACGAAGGCTGACGATCATGTGGCGGCGATGGAACAGACTACTCGACGAGACAACAATACTAGAAGCAGCACTCAAGTTCAGGTGCAAGAACATTGGCTTGGTCTTGATCATGTATACCCTCCAAGCTCGCACTTCCAAGCTCGCACCTCCGAGCGAGTGGTTCGACAACTGTATTCTAAACCGCCCACATTGCACTTGCGATCCGATGCAACAAAGCACGATACCGAAGCAGGCCGGGTTGTGGGTGTCGTGTGGCTGCAGTCTGCCTCGAGGCTGCTGCGTAAGATCGGGCGAGTAGAGTGCGTGAAGCTCCCGTCGTGCCTCGATCCAGCAGGCAGTTCCAGTGCACATTTGCGTCGCAGCGTGTGGGCGTGACTGTGCGCTGATCGAGGCCGGCTTGAGGAGGCGTCGAGAGCATGAAGGCGGGCGGGCGGGCGGCCTGCGCGAAGAGAGTCCAACGACGCAGGGACCGCGAAGAATTGCTCAACTGAGCCTGACTCGGCCTGCGTTGCAGCGTGCAGTTGTGGATTTTTGGCGATTTTGGCGCCGCACGCTCCACGCCTCGAAGGCATAACTGAAAGCCAAAAGGCGGTTCTGGCGAAGAAGCATGAGCGTGGCGTCGCAGCCAAAGGTCGATATCTCGGGCGCCAAAAGTCAAAGCTGGCTGGCGGCCGTCGCAAATCCCACGTCCATCCTCATCGCCACCGTCTAGCACCGGCCGAACGAGCCAGCCCCATCTCTCATGAGCATTCGCCTACCTCAAGCACCATCCGTCTCGCACTATTGCCTCCACTTCCACTGCCACACGCTCAGGCGACGCAACGATGGTCAAGGTCAAGCTGAGGGTGCCGCTCTCGTCGGCGCCGCGCGAGACGTCGTCGCCACTCGCCAATCCGCTGCGCAGTGCACCCGACTACTCGGACGATGAAGACAACGACACCAGCCCGCGCCCCGGTAACAATGGTCACGATGACGAAGGCGGCGACGATGACGACGACCAGGTGGACGAGGATGACGACGAAGAGGATCAGGAGGCAGACGAGCTCGACGAGCAGGACGAACTCGAGGAAGAAGAGGGCGACAACTCGAGGGCGCCGTCTGCATCCACGCCCAAGCGCCGCAGCATCACCATCAAGTCGCGCTCATCGCGAGGCGGCGCATCCTCATCCGCCTCTCCCTCCATGGACGGCTCGGCAAGCCCGCACTCGGGATCGAGCAAGATGGTCAAGCGCACCAGCCTGGCGCGCATGGCGCACGTGCAGGCCATGACGGTCGAGGAGCTCGATGCGCTGCCCGCCGCCAAGCGACGCAAGACCGCCAAGGCGCGAGGCGCTGCCGGTCCCGGCCGCGGCTGGCGCAAGGGCCTCACCAAAGGTCAGAAACCCGTATACGAGCTTCCGCCTGCAGAAAAGACGCCAGCTACGTTTGGCAACACGGCCAATGCGCGCCCCAGCGTCCCCAAGGCCGAAACACCCACGCCGTCGAGCTTTGTGACCAAATCCAAGCCGTCCTCCACGCTCGCCGCGTCCGCCGAGGCCAACAGGGCAGCAGCCAGCTCGTCGGCACCCACGGCTCGCGCGAGCGCAGCGACAGGCTCGGCAGCCGCCACCTCGATCAAGATCGTCGCAGGACCGGGCGGGCATACGTTCACAGGCGATCTGAGCGCCAAAGCGGGTACGGCCAAGAATCCGGGCTTCAGGTATCCGCCTCTGCCGTCGTCACGCGCCGGCCCGCCCGTCCAGCCACTGGCAAGGATCCCGACGTCGTTCCAGTCGGTCATCCCACTCGAACGCAATGGCCGCCAGCCACGTCGCTGGATCAAGGGCAAGCGCGAAATCCTCAGCATGGGCGGCAGACCTTGGAGCATCCCCGTCCTGTATGGTGGGGACGATCGCGGATACGAAAAGAAGATCGACGCGGGCACAGGCGTGACGACAGCAGCTGGTGCGGTTGCAGGCGCAGCAGCCGGAGAGAAGATTGCCAGCAAAGCAGGAACACCCGCAGCAGCAGCAAAAGCCAATTCGCCGACACCCACACCCGTACAGACACCTACACCCCACCCGACAAGCGTCAAGCCACCGGGGCCGACCGAGGGAGCGAGGACGGGCTCGTCGCCTCTGCCACCGCCCAAGCATCTTGGCGGTCTCAGTGCTGTACAGGCAGAGACCAACTGGCGCGGTCAGTCGCCTGCGTTTCTCTTTGGCGGACGATGATGTGTCTGCAATGCAGTCAGTGCGCACGTTGAAGATGTAAGGAGCATGTGGTGAGAGTGTGCGGTAGGCGTGGATGTGTGAGTGACAGGCGCTGTAACAGCGAACGAGATTGATGCCGCGGGTTCGTTTAACTCCAGCTTGTCGCCGACACCGCCGAGGGTATTATGCAGGCAGCAAGGCGCGGAGCGAAGCAGCTGCAGCGCTTTGAAGGGCAGCAGTGGGGCTGGCGATGTTATCGGGGAAAGGCTTCCGAGTGGAAGAGCCGAGTGGAAGAGCCAGAGAAGGTTCGATTTCCTCATGGAGGCCCCGATTCAGCTCGCGAAATTTCGCCCACAGGGAGGTAGGAATGTCGAGCCTTAGGTCCGGAATGTCGGAGATAGGATGTAAGCACTCCCATGGCGCCGTCATGCCGTGCTGTTTTCAGCGGGGGATTGACGAAGGATCTACAGCTCGCGGCGCACGGTCCTCGTATAGATATAAAGCTCGCATCCTTGGGCCTTGTCATCAATCCATCCCAACCCCACATCCTCATACCTGGTGAACACTGTCAACATGTCGCTTCCTGCTGCTGCCAAGAGCTACCTATCGCTGATCGCTACCCGACGATCCACCTACACGCTCGCCAAGGAGCCCTCGATCCTCAACGTCGACCAGATCCACTCGATCCTCAGCTCGGTCCTCGAGTACTCGCCTTCGTCGTTCAACTGCAAGTCTCCTCGTCTGGTGCTCCTCCTCGGTGCTGACCACGATGAGTACTGGGGCACCACCATCCCCAACGCCCTGACTTCGATCATGAAGTCGCACGGTGCTGGTGAAGAGGCGATCAAGGCCGCCACTGGACGACTGGCCATGTTCAAGCCCGCTTTCGGCACCGTCGTCTTCTTCGAGTCGAGCGCGGTGGTCGAGGAGCAGCAGAAGAACATGCCCCAGTACAAGGACAACTTCCCCATCTGGAGCGAACACGCCACCGGCATCGCCCAGACCAACGCCTGGTCCGCACTCACCAACGCCGGTTACGGCGCCAACCTGCAGCACTACGCCAACCTCGGCGAACAGGCGCTCAAGGAAAAGTACAACCTGCCCAGCGACTGGAAGCCCAAGGCAGAGCTCGTGTTCGGCGCCAAGACCGCCGAACCCCAGCCCAAGGAGTACAACGCCGAGGAGGAGAACAAGAACCGCCTCCACGTCTTCGGTGCCTAATCTCCAGCCCCATCCATCTAGACACCATTAGAATCTCAGTGTTGCGAACCCTTCGCTGGTTGCATGTCTGTGCAAAGCTTGAGAAACGTTGCTGAAGCCCCCTCACCATGTGATTCCGCGGTGACGATCTCATCAAGTCCGGCCTTGAAGGCTTATGAGGAATGTTCGGCTCCCACGCAAAGGAGGCACAGATGCGGGCACGGCTTCTACGATTTACGACGCACAGCACGCAGTACAGGATCCCCGCGCTCGGGCAGGAGCAGGCGCGATGGAGTGTGTGCGGATTTAGGGCTCGAGCGAGGCGGCGAAGTTGTTGTTCTCGCGCTGCTCGTCCCACCTGGCGATCTGGATTGCGACACAGCAACAAGGGCAGAAAGAGGCGAAATGTCAGCGATCCGATGCGTATGTTGCGGGCAGCAGTGGCAGTGGCAGTGGCAGTGGCAGTGGCGGCGGCAGAAAAGCAGAAAGGCGAGGCGAAATGCAATGCGAGCTGCGTGCGACGCTGGACGCCGCTGCGAATGCACGAGAGCTGTGGTACTGGTGGAAGCAAGACCTGCGTGGATATCGGCGTCTGGAAGCAATGTGGTTGCTGACACAATGCAGTTGCAACACACTGTCATATGCAGCCACGAAGAGGATGCAAGGCTACGAGCAGGCGACATCTCCGCTTGCCCCAAGCGAGGTCCGGGTGTAATGCAGAATGGCAAGTGAGTGCGAGCCTGACGCTGCAGACACACAATTGGGTACAAGGAGCACCTCGAAAGTGTCGCAACGGCCAGAAGAGCCGAGTCGAATCGTCGATGTAGCCTCCTCGAGCTGTGTGCAACCCACGCGCGGGGCTTGAATGAGGTCGACGCCCTGTGGGGACGGAGTGGAAGCCAAGCGATCGATCCATTGCTGCTGGATGCCGGTGATGCACGCTGCCGCCTCGTTGCCTCTCGCATGCCAAACTGCCGGCCGGAGGAAGAAAGGTCGGTCGAGATACTCACCCACTCGTTCGGGCACAACGAGTTGTAGGCGCGGAAGAACTGCTTGCAGGGGACAAAGTCCTCACCCTTTGCGTTGACGCATCGGTAGTAGTCGACGTAGCTGAAGTGCGACGCAATTGCAAAACTGCCAGTCAGCACTGATCCGGTCGAGAGGGCTGGAAAGACGGCGAGCGCCGCCCAACTTACTTTTGCCAGCAGTGCTTGGTCTGGTTCTGGTTGGGGAAACGCGCGTCGAACGAGGCGGTCTGCAGGGTGAACGACTTTTGCTCGGAGGAGTCAGACATTTTGGCGGGGATGGTTTTGACGAACAAAGAGGAGGAGAGCGATGTGGTGGAGGAGAACGACAACGATGACGATGATGGCCCAGCCTGCTTTGCGATGGCGGCGGAGGCGGCGGCGGCTGCTGCTGAGCGCGCCAGAGGCTGCGAATTTGACATCCATCAGCAGCCTCACTCATCCAGGCCAAAGCCAGCAGCAGAAAGCGGCGCCTCGCAGCGGTTCAACTCGGAATCGCCTCACGCACGGGAGACTGACAAATTCGCTCGGCTCCGAGAGACACGCGATCTTCTTGAGCTCCCCAACTCTCCAGGAGCTTCGGACGCTCTAACAAGATCGAACTTTCCTCCACCTCCAGATTTCCACATTTGGCCCAGCGGGCGTGGACCCTGCCTGGAGCGAGAAGCTTCTTCCACCGTCCCAACAACTACCGCCACAACCCACCGCCACGCCATGGATCTGCTCAAGGCAGAGATTGCCGCCAAGCGCAAGGCGGCAGCAGAGGCCTCCTCGGCCTCGACGTCGGTGGCCCCTGCACCTGCACAGAACAAGTACATTCGACGAGGCGACCTCGACAAGCTCCGCGAAGAGCACCAGCGATCCGCCTCGCCAAGCTCGTCCCCCTCATCGCCCTCTTCATCCAGACCTGCGGCCCCTCGATCTTCACCACCGGCAAACAAGCGCTTGAAAGCGACACACACTGATCATGTGTCGCGCTCTGCATCGCCCTCCGCATCCAACACACTGAGCGCCGCCACCCAGGCTGCGCTCGACACTGCTGCCGGCGAGGTGGAGCGCGAAAAGTTCAATGTGTCCAACGACGAAGCCGTGCGTCGGCTGCGCTCCAAGGGCGAGCCGATCCGTCTGTTCGGCGAGTCGGACAAGGAGCGTCGGCTGCGACTGCGTGCGCTCGAGCTCATCGAAGAAAAGGGCGGCGGCGTGCTGGGCCAGAACGACTTTCGCAACGCTCTCCAAAGCGCCGAAAGCGCCACAGCACTCGAGCTGCTCGAGAAGCGCAACGCGGCAAACAAGGGCAAGACGGAGCAGGCGCGTCTCGACTCTCTGCGGCCAGACGCAGCCACAGACGCCACAGACGGCGATGGAGCATCTCCATTGCGCGCATCGCCCGATGCGGAAAGCTCCAAGCCGACGGTGCGCGAAGGAGTGGGCATGAACAGCGTGCTTGACCTCGGCCTGATCAAAACCGACATCGACCGCGTATATCCGATCATCTACTACACGCTCAAGGGCCTCTTGCAGGAGTGGGCGGACTCGCTCGCCGCACGTCCGGACGAGGTCAAGCACACGATGCAGGGCAAGCTCGCCGCGGCCACGCAGGTGCAGTCGGCCGACTACCTCAAGCCGCTCTTCAAGAAGCTGCGCCGGCGTGCGCTCACCCCGGACGTGCTCATGCGCATCGCCGAGATCGTCCACTACGTCCAGAAGCGCGAGTACCGCCATGCCAACGACTCGTACCTCCAGCTCTCCATCGGCAATGCCCCCTGGCCCATCGGCGTCACCATGGTCGGCATCCACGAGAGGTCCGGTCGCGAGAAGATCTTCAGCAGCAACGTCGCGCATGTGCTCAACGACGAGGTCTCGCGCAAGTACATCCAGAGCCTCAAGAGGCTCATGACATTTGCACAGTCCAAGTATCCGCCAGAAGACATCAGCATGATGATGGGGTAGCCTCCGCCGCAATAGATCGGTCTCGATGCGCGGAATTTGACAAGGTGCAGCCGGCTGAGTCGTTGTCGAGGTCATTGAAATGCTGAGATCCTGATGCTATCACGATGGGTGCGGATCGGAAATGCGCATGAATGTTAGGTTGAGCACCGGCTGGGCTTTGGCGCTGGGTCCGGTTGCGAGTTGAAAGCCGACCGAGGCGTCCTTCTCCACACTCGCGCATCCGCATTCCCGCATCCACACTCTACACCATCGTCGCCATCGCTGGGACACATCCTACCGACCTAGCAACGCGCCGCGCACTATCATCCTCTGCCAACGTTCACGTATTGTTTTTGAATCATGTCGGATCACGCCGGTCCCAGCCGCAGCACCGCAGAGCCTTCCACAAGCGTGGCCACAGAGTCTGCACCAACGTCGACTCCTTCGGCTGGAGCGTATCGGCCGCAGGAACGCTTCAGCTTTCCGGCAGCTGCTCAGCCGGAGATCGTACGAGCGTATCAGAAGGACACGTACTACAAGGACCTCTTTACGTCGCAGGTGTCGGACGTGGTGCGGTCGCTGTTCGGCACCCGCGTGCAGCACGCACACACTTCGGCAATCTCGCTCGTCGGCGCACTCGGCTACTACGTCCTCTCGACCTCTTCGATCCCAGGTACCGGCGACGGACGTGGTGGTCAAACGCTCGGAGAGGAGTATGTCAACAGCATCCCGTCCGACGCGCGTACGGGCCGCATCATCACGCGCGCCAAACGACTCTCCTGGATCCTCCTACACGTCCTCGGCCCCTATGCGCTCACCAAGCTCTACGCTGCACTAAGACGGTATGCACTACGAGCCAAGGCGGATCTGGATACGCAAGAGGCAAGAGCAAGGGCAAGATCAAAGGCACTCGATCAACACTATACCCCGAAAGTTGGGCTGCATCGAAGACTCGTCAACTGGCTGGCGCGCGTGCTGCCAGCGCTCGAGACGCTCCAATCGCAGGACGGCTGGTTGGCCTATCTATCCGCTGCACACCTCATGCTCTTCTACCTCGGCGGCAAATTCTACAGTGCCGCACAGAGGCTGACTGGCGTTACGTACATTTCGACGATCCCGAAACGACCTGGGTACCAGCCACCGTCGTACGAAGTGCTCGGCGTCCTACTGGGGATCCAACTCTTCGTTAAGCTGATGCTCGAGGTGCGGTCTTATCGTCGGTCCAAGCGACAGGCGGTGGATGATGGGGAGGAGAAGAGTTCGGGCGTTGATCCGGCGACGACGGTGGAGATCGACAGGGCCGTCTTTTCGCATGCCTCGCAACCGGCCAAGCGCGTTACGCAGCAAGACAGCGCCGAGTCCATCGACCTCCTCTATGCACATCTGCCTGACGACGAGGGAAAGACGGATGAAGATGCGGTGGCTAGAATCAACACTTCGGCTGCCCAAGCAAACGCTTCCAGCACACTACAGTGCACACTGTGTATGGACACGCGTGCACCGCACCGAGCCACCTCGGCAGTCACAGAGTGCGGTCACTGCTTCGACTGGGCCTGCATCACCGCCTGGATCGCCGAAAAAGTAAGTTCGACCCGCACCCTCGCAAAGCAACATCAGACACTGACCAACGCTTTCCCTTGATCGCAGCCCGAGTGCCCACTCTGCAGACAACCACTACAACTCCATCGCATCCTACCCATCTACAACTTTTAGCCCCACTCTCACCACCCTCGTACCAACGCCAGTCTACAAATGCAGCCATTCACGGCACATGCTCGCGCACAAACACCTCGCACAAAAGGGGAGAAGGTTTGGATCTCTAAAAACGACAGTCGGAACGCCAAGGGGGAGGATTCTCGGGGCGGATAGAAGCTACATTGTGAACTCGACACCAGGCTGAGGGGAACCCCAGTGCAGGCATGGAAGGGAGGCGGGAGTCGGGCAGGGAAAAGCGTGACACGGAGAGAGAACAAAGAGAACAAGCCAGCCTGTTCCGAGCAAGAGCGGAAAAAAAAGCGAGCCCTGTGCGGCCTTGGGGGGGAAGTCGGGGTCTCGGGAACGATTCTTCCATCCTGCGCATGCAGACGGGGCGTGCTGGTCCAGACCAGGCTACCACCCTCGCACCGCGGATGGCAAGATCGTGAGCCCACCGATAGAGTTGATGGGAAGGGGG